ATTGTTCACCACTTGATCTACAATCAAATTTTCATCTTCAAATTTGGATCAAACATATCGATCTACAATCTACCTTCACGATTTCCTCAATGTCTGTAGAGCCAATATAAAAATTGACAACGCTGCTGACTTCTGTCGGTTTAGAAAGTCAACTAACCATTGTAAATTAAAAGCGCCTGTGATTTCTTCCATGCAGTCGTTTAACGCCTGGTTTTTGCAGTTTATTGACCCCAAAATGCAAATAGAATTGAGCTCACGGTAGCTTCCGGTTTCTGTTTTGGTTATAGGGTAAAATAACAATAAAATGAAGAAAACAGTGTCACTTGTTGACAAGTAAGCTATATCAGGGGAGTTTTGGGGAATTACCATAAACTGGGTTTTTGTCAACCTTGTGCTCCTCCTTGGCAAGGCTCTGGTTGCGCCCCTGCCTACACACAGAAGCAAATCAAGTCGCATGCGTTGCATGATGGGCAATGAAGTGTCCATTGGGCCAATTTATACCTAAGGCAGACAGCTTCACGGAGACTATTTTTCTGGGATGGTGTGGTGTGAGGGAAGATAATTCGGAAAAAGATGCTGCTGCAGGTGTCCAACACGTGTCTCACACACCACGTAGTAGTAAAGCTGGTCCCAAAGTATGCGACAAAGAGGCCATACGATCAGTTTGCAGTCAGTCATGCTGGAGGTATCCGGGCCAGGGCAGTGGCCACTGACGGCGGACAGAGGCAGGGCCCAGATGAGGGAATATGACAAACGGGCCTTGTTATGTGACTTGATTCTTAAAAGAGAATCTCCAGTTCTATGGCTTTTATCACGTTGTTTCTAGCAGTTTCAATCTCCCGAATTTGTTTCCGCCTAAAATGCTGCCACAAGTCTTATCCCTTGAAAAGCAGCCAACGAAATGAGGGCGCATGAAAAATCTGTCGCGCTGTGAGGCATCAATCCACTTTCAAAACTCTCCCCAGCCTATACCCAGGCCGTATTTTGGCATCTACGTTGTGAAGGCTTCAAGCTTCCTTATGACCCAAAATACCTACCAGCTCATGAAATTCCGCCTAGTCAAGAAAGACAGTGTTAAAATGGCCGCACGGTCTAAGGAAGCCGGATAGCTTTATTTGCCAAATGACAGATGAGTCGCATAGGCCAGATGTGCACCAGTGATAAGCAGCTCTAGATGCATATCTAGCATAGCAGCCATGACATTTGAGTGAGGAGCGATAACAACCTCCATTCCTATCCTCCCCCTCCCCCCCCCCCCCCCCGGATCATCGGGCTCACATTCCAGAAAAGTTCCTGAAGTACATCCTGAGCTTGCCCCCCCCCCCCCACACTTTTGGAAACGTTCCTACGCCCATGATGTGCAACGTTTAGGCCTGTTGAGAAACACAGTTTGAATATGACACCTGCCAAACAAAAACTGGCAAGCACACAGGGAGGCCATAATTTCTATATTTGCGAATTTATTGTTGCGGTCCAGGTAACATCCGAAAAATGTCGACGCACTCCCGAGAGAACCCCCCCCCCCCCCACAAAGTTCATAACTGGCGCGGATGAGAGGAAAAGGGCCACGCGTCCTTAAAAGACGGATACCGTCAGCGCTACAAGACCACCAGGCGGGTACCCGAATACCTCTTTAGAAAGTAGCCGAGTGATTATCTATGTGAGCAAGCTGCCTTATACCAGCAACATCTCTTCAAGCTAGGAAATAGATGGTAAATTTCGAGGGAATTAGCGGCGGAAGCAACGCAGCATTGAAAATGTCTTCATGAATGAAAACAGCATTTGGAAAGGAAATGTTGGGGCAGAATCACCACGAGACGAGAACAGATTTGAGTTCGTCATATGCACGGTGTAGGGAGCCGTAAGAATTTGGTCAATTTTAGTTGGCTGGGACAATCCATATAAGAGTGCCCTTTCGTAGCCTATTACTTAGGCAATTGAGCTCTAAGCTCACTGATACATATGGCAGAGTTACTAAACCTAAACCCGTCTTGAATCTGTTTCACAGGTATACGGCTGCGGATAGCTTTTACTATGTTCTTGGTGACAGCCATGGATCCCAACAGTCGACCATATGCCGGACTGTGTTTGGGAGGGCAATCCCAGCGAAGCCGATAACCTTTCGCAGCGTAGTCAGCTGTTGTGATCACGAAGAAGCAAAGCGTCGACCCCTTGAGAAAGCGGGGTTGTCGGATATTGTTGATATGCTAAGTTGTTTGGTTTGTTATTACGGTGATCTTTGAAGATTCAAATGGTCCAGCACTTTTCTTCTTGTTTTGAAATCGACGAAAATGTATTTAATCCCACAAAATTCAGGCTTTTTGGGTATGAACAGTATTACGACGATGATATTATACCAGTTATAGCAAAACGGGATTCCTGTCCGTATATTCGAACGCAACTAATTCCTACTCGCTCTTGCTGCAAAGCAAACGAACTAAAGGAAATGTTCCACATTTGTAACAGGTTTTGAACTGAAATAGCCACCCTGAAGATACTCCGGTGCAGTTCGCAGTCCTGCCATTCTTCAGACCTAAAAAACCTTCCGGCTTCCGAGCTACACACCCACGAAGGTGTGCCGACTACACGTGTCGTTCATATGTGGCGTTCATGATTACGGTTTTCAGACGTAACGACGTCCATTGACCCTCAAATAATGTTGTGCGGGCTGTGCAAGATTCAATCACGAATCACGTTTTGTGCTACGTAGTACAAGAAGTTGGATATCCTTATTAGTCATCACGGAACAAAGCCTGTGCTCGAGCAGCTTGATCGTACTGCAATAACGAAAAACGTGAATGCGTATCAACATCTTAAACTCACGAGTAAATATGCAAGACCACCACGAAAAGGGCCAAAACAAGAGCACATCCCGATTATTTGTTCTGCAAACACCTCCAGCAACACGTGACCATCTCTCGAGAGACTTACACTTAGTACTACACTTAGTACTACAAGTGGGTGCTAGGGTGGCGATTTCGCGTGGCCAGTCTAGCAGCACCTCAGCGACATGTAAAGGTTCCACGACGTAACCGATGGCGTAATGAGGAGCATGTTTAACAGGTAGAGAAATTGCGGTGCCTAGAACAGTATCTTACTCTATGAGGTATACCGATAGCTACAAGTGAGCTTACTTTATGTCTGACGTTCATTTCAACATGTTCAAATAAGGAGCACTTTCTTTAACAATGGCCTAGCAAGGAGATTGCTGTGGTCAATGAAGCTGGCATCGTTCCGAATCTACTGAGATCTAACACAGTATATTTTGGAGGACTCAAGTTTTGCCGATGCCTGCAAAAAAAAATCACTAGCTTCGATGTAAATAGGTGTAACTTTGAAATAGCCATTCAAGCGCTTGTAGCGTTAAGTTCTGCTGGCCGCGTGCATCTACCGAGCTGTTATCGCGGCCAAGACAGTATGCCTGCCGTTGATTTCGACTGTCTCCCGCCGCTGTCCTCCCTGTCTCCTGTCGTTGTCCTCTCCAGTCTCCTGCCGTTACCCTCTCCCGTCTCCTGCCGTTACTCTCTCTCGTCTCCTGCCGTTGCCCTCCCCTGTCTCCTGCCATTGTCTTTACATGTCTCCTGCCGTTGCCCTCCCCTGCCTCCTGCCATTGTCTTCCCCGATCTCCTGTCGTTATCCTCCCCTATCTCCTGCCGTTATTGTCTCCTGTCCCCTGCCGTTATCGTCTCCTGTCTCCTGCCGTTATCGTCTCCTGTCTCCTGCCGTTGTCCTCTCTTGTCTCCTGCCGTCATCGTCTCCTGTCTCCTGCCGTTATCGTCTCCTGTCTCCTGCCGTTGTCCTCTCTTGTCTCCTGTCGTCCGCTCCCGTCTCCTGCCGATGTCCTCACCTGTCTCTCATTGGGCAACACTCCTCACCATAAAAACAGTGATGTAGGACGGCATATCTGCATATTTGCAAGCATGCTTCGTACATGCTTTGAATCCGAACCCATATCACATGTTCACAAACACTAATGTGGCGATCTACATACACACTCGCTCACTGCATTAAATCGTGAAATGTCACTTTTCTGTCATTTAGAAGGAGTCATACCAGATGAAAAACCATGAGCAATGATATATTCCCAGTAGTAAGACACCGTTCACAAGTTCACTGCTTGTGCTCGAGACCTGCCGATCCTTCACTTCTTGCAATTACTCTGTTGATGCCCATGGTACCTGGTACCTTGCTTGTTAGCTTGGATTACCTAATGGTTCCAGCTGACATGCACAATATTATATTCGCCGCGTTCGTTTAAGCTGCCTCGCACAGGGTCGCAGCATTACGCACCACAGCAATTATTGACTATCACGCGACCGAGCCAATAGCTCAGATATCACTCTTGATACTACAACTAGCTACGATCCCTGGGGACGGAACAACCATGAATGCCAATGCTATGAACATATTGAAAATATGAAAATAAAACAGCGACTAGATGCATCAAGACAAAACCACAAACACACACACACACACACGCACACACGCGCAACCAATACCAATGGGGCGGGAGTGCGTACAAACGCAGGCATAACATATCAATTACTGCTGTGTTGAGTCTTCTGGGTGAAATCATTAATGTTGTGATAAATACTTACGATAAAAAGGCACCACGGGACGCACTGAAAGGCTTCATGGAGAGACTGGTCATGAAAAATCCAAGCACATCCAACAAATGACATTTGAACGGTCGCGTGACTGTCCGGCGAACAATGAAAGCGAGGCGAACACGCAAACGCTGCGCGCGAGCAGGCAGGATTGCCTGGCACAAATCTCTGGCCATTGCACGCCAGTCCCTTCTAATCTCGAAAGGCCCACTGTGGCACCGATCCCAAACAGCGAAATCACATGTTCACAGCAAAACACTGACTACACCAGACAGCACAGCACAACCCAATGACGCGACGGCAGTATGGGGTAGTCCGCCACTCAGGTTACGTTGTTTCGTCTTTTCGCCACCTGGCCAAGAATTACGAGCCCACCGCTTTGCGTGAGCGCTGCTGAACACAGCTACGCAGCCTCATATTTGCTGCACTAGAGACTGGGCCTGCTCTGGGTTGGGTGCAGTGTGGACTGCTGTCGCCGGCGGGTTCCGTACCGGCTGCTGCGAATACACACAGATGGCGACGGACACCACGGCGATGGCCACCACGGTGTTCAGGTACACCGGGATGCCGAAGATGAGCCAGCACAGCACGGCGGTAAACATCAGCTCCAGCGCGCTGGCAAACGTTTTCAGGATCGAGTTCAGCGAGTGAAGAAAGAAGCATGTGACGATGCCAATGCAAGCGTTGTTCAGCACGATGGCGAGCACAGCCGGATGCAGGATGGAGCGGAGGGCCTCGCCGGTCAGCGCCGTGCCCAGCTGGCCGCGGAGCCAGAGAGCCAGCGTCGCCGCCACGATCGAGTCGACGTACAGAAACATGTTCTGCAGCATGATGTGCACCTCCACTGCCTGGTGCTTCAGCAGGTACTCGTTGTAGACGCCAGCGAAGCAGGAGCAGAACACCTGCGACCGACACAGCCAGCCACAATCGTCTTCAACTCGGCTTCACTGTACGGTTCCAACGCGTTGCAAGCATTCCTTAATTTTGTTTAATGCAAAAACTGGCGCATTGGTGCGACGTGGTATGCCATGTAATAGCATGCTTAGACATGAAACATGAAACGCTATCAACACATTCGAATTTATCGTCACTTCAAACAGCATTACAAAAAAGAAGGTTCTGAATGCAAGTCAACACCAGCAGGAGCTACGCGCGCGTTCCAACACGCGCACAGAGTTGTTTTTTTTCTATGTAATGCGCTGCCACACCGTGCACACGCTACCTGCACTAGGATGAGAATTATATTGAAGCTGAAGATGCCCCGGAGCCAGTCCGAGCTCGACGCCGACGCCGGGCCCGTGTTCAGCTGTTTGATGATGCACCCCACGGTGAGAAGCAAAAGCGAAAGCCACTGACGGGACGTCAACTTCTTCTTGAAAAGCACCTGAGGACATGGGAAGACCATCATTGGAAACTGCTGACGCATTCACAGCACACGATGGATACAAGCTGGGCGGTGTGCGCACGGTCTTGACCCTTAACCCCCGCCCTGCAGCGGTGAGTCCAAAGCAAAGCCCCCTAGTATTCCCAACATTGCGGGAAAGTGCATGTTGCCGCTCTACACATGGTGACGACATCTTAATGCTCACAATTTGAGGCAAGTCACGACCTCGCATCATGGCATGGAGCACCAAACTACTGAATGCGCTATCGACCATATTCCTAGCTGTTCTGAGCGTGTAACGTAGATGCTTGGTAATTGATCATGGATTCGGGATAACCTTCAGTCAAAAAGTTACAAAAGGCCTGTGGGCGGCGTGTGGGCGGCCTGCAGGCTTGACCTCCCAAACGACTCTGCACAACATTGTTGTTTTGCCACGCCAAGCCAGTCTCAGGTTATGTCAGGCTACATGGGTTGCAGCGCCCAGAATGGGGCCAAAGCAGATTTTCGAGTGCTCCACGCTACCGTGCGGCGACATAAAACACGAGAAATATGGACTTAAATAAATAGGTAGCAACAATTTTTGACTTATCGTGCAAGCATCAGCCTCAGAATTGTCCCCACTTCGAGCGGTTTTACATTCAGTATAATAATTAAACCAGCCGACACAACTCAGGCGGTAGCCGGGGCGGAGTGACGTTAGGTTAAGGGACGTCACCATGGAAAAAGCTAAAGGTGTTGATAATCATTTGCCGGCTCGTGAGCTTTATGTTACCGGTTTGAAAACAGTGCACACACTTGTATTAACTGTGAAACACAAGACTCTTGGCAAAACATTCTTAGCCACCCTCCCTACTGGCTGCTACCATGACACCACACGACGTCGTAACGCGCAGGCATGCCTCGACATGTGCTGTTCGTTCCCCTCAGCCTCTGACCTGGAACGTGACGCCTGTGACCACCACTCGCAGCTGAAGCAGCAAGAAGTACGTGGTGGGATCGAATGCCGCCAAGTTGGTGAAGGTGAGGATGTTGTACACGCAGTAGAGGCCGGCTGGCACCGTATAGTAGAGCAGCGCTGGCGGTACCACAGCGGGCATGTCAGCCCGGGCGCACGCCGGGCGTGCCAGCCAACCGTCAGGTCAGGGCCCGTCGCGCGCAGCGTCGGGCGTGCCAGCCAACCGTCAGGTCAGGGCCCGTCGCGCGCAGCGTCGGGCGTGCCAGCCAACCGTCAGGTCAGGGTCTGTCGCATGCAGCACCGGCCAACACATCACGCGCAGCACTCAGCTGAGTACACACGGGTTGGGGTCATGCGCACATGAGCCACATGATCGGTGGGGGTCCATCTACGGAGAACGCGATCATGTGCGGAAGCAGGCAGGGCAACCGGTGATTAACACACTAAGCGGACGTCTCACCAAACTTAATGGGCATAAAATGGTATACCTCATATCCAGCTCCACATTTAGCGGGCAACGATTAAGTTCATGAGACGGACCAACCAGACTGGCGACAGAAACAACCGACTGCCACGGAGAAGACAACATTATCATATCGGCCACGTGCTGGCTATCGGGCTGGCGCGAGACAGCTGGCGCCACCAGACACGGTTACGCCGCCAGCTGTCGTCCGCGGTGGCAGTCAGTTTCAGTTTTTCAAACTTCAAGTGTCGCATACCAATGACCTTATATACAGGTGCCTAACGAGCGACTGCGTACAGCTGGGCCACGATACAGGACACAGGCCGGGCAGGACAACAGGCCGTCGACGCAAGCACGACGCTTGGTCACCATCGGGAGAGACAAGTGCCTAAATCGGGACTGGGACTACAGGGCGCGCTACTCCCCTACGCCGGCGGAAGGTGACGGCAAGTCCCTCCGTCTGGTAAAACAGCTACTCTGGACATGCTTATTTACTTCTCGTACTTTGCGTTGCTGAACTGAGAACCTCCGTTCAACTCAATATTCCCGCCATATAAAAACTGTTGTTGGCGTTCGAAAATTTTGCCTAACGGGACTAATAATTAACACGCTCAAATACTCGCCCAACCAAATGCCCGGTCGAACGCTGCAACGTGGCCAATCCGAATACTGGGCCCCAGCGTCAACGCACGACACGCGCTGTTCAACACCTGTGATCGCTCACAGTGTAACACCTGACAGCACACACATGGTATCAGCAGATGATGGCTAGTTGGAGTTTTGGGCCGCATCGGCTGCAGGGGGTCGTGCAACACCCAATACTATCATATCATGCAGGGCCGCAAATCAAACACGTTTATCAGACAGGTGTGAAGTTTGATGGGTCAAGCAAGATATCATGGTGAAAACGAGTCTTACCACGTCTGTGCGTACAGATATCCTCCAGCAGGTCCTGCACACGCCATTTATGCCTGAAAACAGCACAAAATCACGTTCAGAAGCAGCACACGTCAGCGCAGCGCAAGAAACACGAGGAGAAACGACATCATAGCAAACTGGTAACAATGACACATCAACCTATGTATGGATTTTGCGGAACGGATAACCAAGTTCCCAACGAGGACGTTTCGCAATAGCATCGCGACAGGCTCCCCATTCACAAGACGTCGACTGCAAGTATGTAACGAGTATTCTGTGAACTGCGCAAAGCAAACAACTGGGATGATATCACACATACCGAACACGCGGCATTTACTTCAAAATGGTCGAGCGTAAACTCTAGGTCTGATTCGCTTTCAAGTCGATTCAATTCAATAAACTTCCAGGTCCAAGTCGAGGCAGATTAGTTGGACCTAGGACTATCCAGTTTTAACATGGCATGACGTATGGGAACGGCGATCAGTAAATGCACTTTGGTGATGATTGTTTACTCACTCTTGCAGATATATTAAGGATGACATAAACAATTTGGTGACCTCAGCCAGAAGAACTACAGTCACCGAGTTATAGCTGTAACTGTTGTCTTCCTTCTTTGTGGCAGTAACCAGAAGCCCTGAAAGCACAACCAAGTCATTTGTATGGTGACACATTATGGCTACAATATCCTGTTATGGTGATGACAAACTGCTATGGCTGTGACAACATGCTATGGTCATTTCATATTGTAGCAGTAATGACATCCTGTTATGATATCTTCCCATGGTTATGACACACTGATATGGCTATATAATTGCACATGGTTATAAGGCTGTGCATGGTTACACTGCTATGCATGGCGAGTAGTAATGCTGACAAAGGGTTCAACTTCCTTGGCATGCACAACATGTCTTCAACGACCATCATGCCTACTCGCAGTAACGTATGGATTATTTGACTCTTAGCAGTGCAATGGTGAGGGTGCTTGCCACAATTGCAAGAGAGCATCAAATTTTCTGTGCTGACTTCCGGTGACGAATATCACCAAAACCCATCGTGACAGCTCAAACGCTGGCCTCACAGAGCTGTGGTGCGTGCAATGTCCTCCCTCCGCACTACAGCGCTGCAGTGCGTGGGTATGAACACGACCCGCATACGTTGGCTGTGACGTTCCGTGACGTGGCCAGGATTCCGCCCAGGAGGGGGGGGGGGGGCAGGTAGTTCGGGGTATTGTGACCGTTTTCACTCACAGATACTCCACTTCATCACTATGGACCAATTTTTTATTCGGGATCTGTTTAGGCTCAGGATCTGGTTGTGATGCATCGAGGGCCCGTTCTTAAAGAACCCCTTCCGTGAAAACCATGGAATGTATTGAATCCTTGGGCCCCCAGGAAGCCCATCACCCCTCTGAGGGGAATGCGGCCCCCCCTAAACTATCCGGTTATGGTGCTGGTTATGTCGGAATTATAGCACTGAAAAGTTTTCGACGGTTCAGTGTCATCAACGGTTACCTTGCGCTCCAGAAACGCGAATTTCACATTATTTCGTAATCACATCCGGTCTTCTACAGCCCCACTCTATCTTCTTCTTACGGACTATAATTTCATATGAACCAAACACCTTAAACAAGTGCCGCAAACATTGTGCCACACATACACTCGCACCCTTTTTGGTTACACCCACCTTGGTTGATGAAAAGAGCCATGTAAGCAATGAAGATGAAAAGGCTCCATTTGGAAGGGAAAAGCTCTCTTAGCTGGGTCATCAGTGGCATGGCTCCCAACTGTTGTGCTGAAAAAGTCATGACATCATGCTAAAAGCCTATTACAACCACTTCTTGCTTGGCATGAAGTCCCCACCCACCCACTTGTCTATACGCAATTCACACTATCCTCAATTTTTTGCTTCACACAGCCTACATGTAACTTGATGCAACAATTAAAAGTGGTTTTATTGTTTTTTCTCAAACACTCTGATTGGTTCTGTTTTAAAGAGCTACATTCCGGCAAATTTCGCGATATTTCCTACGGTGTCAATCGCGGCCGCCGGGATACGTGGATTTTCCTACACCTTCCATGTGATTGAATGCACCACATTTTCTTAACATTATGCTATTTTTCATTTCAGTCAACTGCACTCACATGTTCTGTAAATGAAGATTTTGAATGTGGGCAAATGGCCTAGATGAGCTCACACATTTCCAACCATCAAATTTCCATACCCCACATCAGCCTGTCCATGGAACATACATACCAAACACAGCATGCATACTTCCTCAATATTTTGGTGACTATGTCCACATAAGAGGCGTACACAGAGTTTGCATACAAGAATAGAAAATAGCATTAAACTCCCTGCTCACCACCATGAAAGTAATACATTGGATTTGCCTTGCTTTTTCCAACATGTGCATTCTGTAATGTTTGTAACATACCAAACTCTCAAAATGTGTAACAAATGCTATGCAAGTTTATGCAAACTTGAAGTTATCACCCAGCAAATGCAACAAATGTTATCTGAAGGCTTTGATTTCTCCCCTTTTCTCTCCTATCTTATCCCTTACCATGGTGTCCACCACAGCAGGTCTCCTTGAAGTTCACTTTGGCTTCACGACATGGAATATCACATGGTCGACAGTGACACACTGGTTCAAACTTTGGCCAGTGCCATATCTGGCCCTTGCTGCTGGCTGTATTGATCACAAATGTTTGTTTGTGCTGATGCCATTCAGCAACAGCTGATAACTTCCAATGTCAGGAGAGTGTTCAAGCTAGAGAGGTTCTCTAGCTGGATTATGCAGTGTGTTTGTAACACATTGTTCTCAGCTTATCATGGTTTCATGAGACATAATTGCCCAGCCATTAACAGCTTGGTAATATGGTTCATCAGGTAAAGCAGACAATTCATGTCTCCCACTGCTGCAACTTTTCTGAGACAAAACATGCCATGGTCATTTAGAAGCTGTGGGCCTGAAAAGGGCTTCATATCTGCTGGCACATGCAGGCACCTGTATGTTTACAGCTCAAAACATGGTGCCAAAATGGGATGGTTGCTGTTGTCTCTGATATCAGTTTTCCAATCCAAAAGAGACAATTTGCTTTTTTCAATTTTCATCTTTACGGACATGATGACAACTACTCATTTTGAGGTGCACCAAACAAATTATGTGATATCAATGGCATCAATTTCATATAGACTTGCAACTTTTTAAATTACACTAATTTCAAATGACCATGTGAATGGCCTTCAGCTTGAAGCATGTGCTAGACTGAGCTTATGGGTTTATGGAACTTGATGGGATGGAGACTAAGCTTATATATGCCCTTAAAGCACCACCCAAGCCATGCCCATCTGATTATTCATATGATTTTGCATCAGGCATATTTACTATGAAAAATTTTGGTGGATTCTACCTGAAAGCCAATATCAATACATCGCTGGCTCAGGAAGTCTGATTCTCGTCAGCCAGTTGCCATCTTACTTTCCACATAATTTGGGTTGCATTGCTCCAGATCCAGGACTGCTATGCAGCACCAATATATTAAGAGTCTAGCATTTTCCCTACTCCAGGGGTGGCACTGCATTTAATTCATCTATCATATTGGGATCACTGGCTGCAGAAAGACACCACTGACTGGCTGACTTCATATTGCCATGTTCTCTTGCTTCTTATCTGTTGTTGTTGTTTACTGGAGTTTAGGGGCGCGCCAACTGCGGTGGTCATTTGGCGCCCAACTTCTTACTTTCTATTAGCTAGTTTGGTACACCAATATCAAAAAAATTTCCTAGAACCCCCTTGTGTGTGTATTGAGTGAGAGTAAGTGATAAAATGATACATATTGTAATATGATGCCTGTGAATACTGTTGGTCTAATCCTGGTCCAAACACAGCAAACAAGCTACAGAAATGCTTGCGCAGCCATTCAGAACACAAATTCATGCATATTCAACTTAGCTGAACCACCAACTGAAGGCAAATAAAAGTGCTTCTTCTCCTAGCATCAGGTGACCTAAAGAACTTCATTCAGAATAGACTACTTGATCACTTCAAAACAATGACCTGGTATATAACTGAGCAAAATAGGGCTGCCCTTATATAATAATAAATAAGGGCTGCCTTTCCTTGATATTCAATCACAAAGGTGTTGAAAAGACTTTGGACAGTTATATGCACAGCCATAAAACAGGCCACACCACCACAAAAAACACATCATGCTGAACATGGCTGACACAGCAAGAACATTGCATACAAACTTAGTGTATGTACACTGTACACAATGCATGGCAGCTCACAGTTCAGTATACACACACAACCAAATCAATGTCATGGAGCCCATTTTTCAGGGAAGGATGCTGTGGTGAAGGTAATTTCCAAGCAAAACTACATCAAAAATATTTTCAACACGAAGACATATTTGAAAATCTAGCACAACATGGCATGGCAAGAATACAGTCATGCGAATGCAACGTTCATTCACGCTGAAGTCACAGCGGCATGCAAGGTAACAAGGCAGTGGATGCATGTTTAACGGATAAACAGGCAGACGGGTGTATGCTAGTCTTCTTATACTACTTAATGAGAGCAACAAGCATTACCCTCCCTTCCACGAACCTAACCTCGACCACCAGGCCCGGACGCTGAGCCTCACACCACCCCGCCAAGTCGGTGTGAGAGGCAAAACTGTCCCGTGATTCTCACGTCATCTTGTTAGCATGACGTCACTGGTGCTAATATTGCAATGCGTGGCGGGCTTTCAGATGCCAAAAGTAATGCTAAGGGGCAGCCAGAACAACAAAATAATCGTGCAGGTAATGAAAAAGCCGTTAGCAGGAGGTGCATATGATAAGAGGGCCGACTACGTACGATTCCACGAAGAACATGATGATTTGCCTCGCAGGCCTATGCGGGCAGACGTTAAAAATGGAAACGCTTGAAAAGTGCAGACGCGCACACAATACTTATTTCCAATATGACGGCAGGAACACCAGGATGCATTCGTTCCGATGAAAAAACAGTCTGCTACTGACAGCTTACATGGCCAGCGAGACAAATGTGTAAAAATTAGCGGCGGGCGTGATAATGTGCGTGGCAACCTATTAAGCGGAACGGCATTGCGATCCACTTTGATCCTACACGGCATCGCACCCCATGGATGTGCCGCCTCCGGCGGTGAGAGTGAGCGGCGAGAGTGAAGAGTCTGTCAATTGTTTTGCTCTAGATGCGCCAGACTTCCGCCAGATGTGCCGTGCTCGGCCCGCGCTGATGTACACTGCCGTGCTCGGTCATCACCTGGTTAAGGGCCGGCCGTGCTCGATCCATGCCCGTCTGCATTCTGTCGTGCTCGGTCCGTGTCAGGTCGCCGACAGTGTCCGGTCCCTACATGCCTGCTTAGTCACCGTGGGTGTCGAGTCACGTATGTTGTGTGCTTGAGACGTTTCTGTGCGTCGCTCAAAATGATCTCCGGATGGAATTATTGATAACTGATCGGAGTGCAGAGCACGATATGCATCTTTGATACCAAATTATTGTTAGCAGGAACAACGCTAGCTGTACAACTGATGAATATCTGTGCGCTTAACTCGAGTGGCAGTACGCTCCAATCACTATGTTTATTCCATCCCTGAACATAATTTGCTTGGCCGCGACCACACAAAAGCCCCGATGATGTAAACACAGAATGGCATGCGTGCAAAGTCTCATGGGCAGCACGCAGCGAGCCAGGTTCATGGCTGATTGTTTCCTCAGTCTTCCGTGGCAGCATTTAGGCTTCGTGGCCAATTATGAGCTTTCTTTGTTTAGTGCACTCCCCGTAACGTCGCTACTCAACCTCAAAAAGCGAATTTACAATCAGTGTTCAGCACAGAATGCTAGCCGGCTCCCGTAAAGGCGCGGGAGCAACAGAAGTTCCCTGAGTGTGTATGTGTGGGGGAGGGGGGGGGGAAGGCGGGTGATAGTCACTTTCGCTACTTCTTGGCAGTTCACACCCATAGGGCTTAAGATAAATGATAAGGCTTATTGAAGTTAGGGCTCATCCCCTTCTTAGTACTTGCGCGCCCCTTCGAAGACATATTCATTTCCCATGCCGACTGAATTTTAACAGCATAATCATAATCTCGCCGATCTCGTCGTGCAAATCTCGCCGAGCATGTGTTCATGCTTATTATTTAATCCTACTTTATTGGTTCGCTAGTATATTCACCTACCAGCAATGATCTACGCACTTAGAAATTGGCAAGAAAGTAGCTCAATGTTCAGGTTGCCTGTCTCGAAAAGAGTGAAAACGTGCACTCATGGACTGTCCGAACAGTCCGCGCGCGCACGTTTTCGCCATTCACCCTGATCACATTCAAACTGCTATGTATATGAACTTGTAATTAGCACATCATCATGCTCACCATCAAATTCTACGCATTCGGCCCTTACGCGTTTTCTAAATGTGCTTGCTTCCAACAGCTTGTTCATTTGAGGTGCGAAGGAAGTCCGGTATCTCGGCCATCCATTTATGTAGCAGTTCTCGCGAAAGGGTTTTCGATTTCCACGTCAATTTCATTGCGTATTGGAGGTCCACATAAGCCTGCTAAACCTGTATTCATATTCGGCGTTAAATGCTACGCGGTTGGCTGGCTGGTCATATCCACCTCACGCTAAAAATTTGTTCATTATTGATACGAGGAGAGCCCGACGTTCCGGCCGTCTTCTCTCTAAACTTTACCGTGTGTACGCTTTCACCTCTTATGTTATTGCATTTTGTCTAAAGGTTAGCGGCATAGTGACATACAGGTTGACTTGTTTTGCACATCATCATACTCACCATGGCATTCTACGTGTTTGACTGGCTGTTCATATACACCTCCTACTAATGTTCTGCGGAGATTTTCAGCTACATCGTTGTTTTCTTCAACTTGATGGTCGCTGTCTGCGTAACCCGGAACAAAGGCTTCTCATTTTTTTAGCAATTTTGCCATGCTCACCCGACTGATTTCTCACCGACAGGTAACGGCAATCACAAGGCTCTCAAAGCCCAGCTAGCATAATAGCAACACGCGCCATGACTGTCTCAATAATTTAGCTTAAGTTCCCGTATGGTTTTCGAAGTTATGCACTCGCACATGATTTTGTTTCATGCACAATGTCATAAATACCTTTCTAGGGCTAGTGGCTGTACTCACTAATTATCAACCTCACGACAGAAAATGAAAGCTCCTTGGGTTACGTCAGCAATAATCATATTTACTTAGATCGCTTATGCATGCCATTGCTAATGCGGGGCTGTTGGCTAGTTGGCCCACCGTATTGACCTGCAGGTGATTACCATCGAGGCCATTCCCTGTGATGAACCGACTAACTAGGGCGACTGCAAATGATGGGGAAAACATTGGCTCACCGACATTACATGGGCTTTTACGAAACAAATGCCTTCGTCCTAACGTGGGCAGTCCCTAAATGCCCCCCCCCCCCCCCCCCCCCCCCACCTGCATTCGTCGACACCGCGAAGTGGTAGGAAGCTAAGGGCCGTGTCCTCACCTTTTAGCTCCATGACGAATATGTTACAGTGGAACTGCTGGGGCGTCCGAACAAGGTACCAGGATCTCCAAGTATGCGTTAACGAGCGGCGGCCGGCGGTGGTACGTCACCAGGGGACAAAGCTGGCACCTGGCAGCGTTTTTGGTCTTTCGGGTTATGCTGCCTGGTGGCGAGATTTACCAGCTGACCCTGTTGCACATGGTGGCGTTCTCCTGACCGTGCGCCACAGCGTGTCTGCTCAAAGGCTGGTTTTAAATACGGAGCTTCAAGCTGTCGCAGCCAAAGTGTTCTTAAACTGCCATACGATCACCATATGCTCAGTCTACTCGCCTCCGGGAACCGGGTTTCCGTTCGCTCGCCCGAGACACCTGTTGGCTCAGCTTCCGCCGCCTGTCCTCATATTAGGTGATTTTAACACTCACCACTCAGCGTGGGGATGGGTCCAGACAAACACTCGCGGAGCTCTCCTACATGAAGAATTGCTGTGCCTCTTAAGCGCGGGAACATGAACCCACTTCCATCCCCATCGAGACGGGCATCGGCAATCAACCTAAGTCTTTGGAGCCCACAACTGACGATCAATTTTGGCTAGTCGGTGTCAGACGATCCCATGGGAAGTGGCCGCTTTCACATCTGGATCAAGTACCGGACTGACGTTCTCCCTGGGTCTCGACCACAGCGCTGGAATATCAGAAAAGCTGACTGAACTGAGTTTCGAGCGAGAGTCGAGCATTTCCTTGCCATGCAACCAGCGAGTGAACCCCCGTCAGAATAAGATTTGGCTTAGCTGGCTCTGCTCTGCTCTGCTCTGCTCTGCGGAAGGGTGTTTGCTGCGAACGTCGGGCTGTCCTCGCCGAACTCTTGTCCCATGGTGGACACAGCAGTGTCGCGGCGCCGTCTGTGGTCGTAAGAGAGCCCTTAGGAAGTTTGACCGTTTGAGCACGACAGAAAATCTAATTGCATTTCGACGAGCACGAGCGGCTACTAGACGCACCATTCTAGACGCTGAGCGGGCGTCGTGGAGAGCTTACGTCGGCCAACTTAACTGCCAAACATCTGCATCCAATGTATGGGCGCGCAACGCATTCGTGGACAGCACTCGTCTATACCACACCCTGTGCTCCATAGCAAAGGGCATGCCATTATACACCCAGCTGACGTCGCAAATGCAATCGCCCGCGCATTCTCCGGACGGTGTGGTAGCAGCAATGCCATCCCACAGCTTATACGTCACCGGATCCGCTGCGAGGCATCCCCTGTCGACTTCAGCACGACGGAGCAGATGTACAACCGACCTTTTACAATGGCCGAACGAATTTCCGCGATCGGATCGCTGCGCAACGTGGCAGAGGGTCCGAATCTAGGTCACAACGCCATGCTTCAGTAACTCCCCACTTCAGCAGTTGAGGACATCTTAGCAGCTAACAACAAACTCTGGGCGAATGGAGGTTTTCCAGAGACTTGTCGTGAGTCGTACATTGTCCCTATGCTCTAGCCTTGTAAGAGTGGGGCTGACCCTGCTGGCTATCGCCCTATCTCACTGACATCATGCATTTGTAAGTTGATGGAGCGTATGGCAACTGCACGTTTGTCGTGATTTTTAGAGTGGTGCAACGTTTTTACGGCTGCTCAATATGGATTTAGGAAAAGTGTAACACTGTTGACCATCTCATAGCTCTCGACACCAGCGTCCACACCAGCTTTAAGGAACACGTGCCGTGACTGACGCGATAATTTAGGTGGAGTTCCTGTATGGTTTCCGAAGTTATGCACTCGCACATGATGTTGATACCTTTCTGAAGATAGTGGCTGAACTAATTAATTATGAACCTCACGAACGAAAAGAAAAGCTGCTTGGAAATAATACGTCTGCTGGCGATAATCATATTTGCTTAGATTACTTATGCATACCATTGCTAATGGCGGCTGTTGGCTAGTTGGCCCATTGTATTGACCTGCAGGTAATTACCATCGAGCCAATTCCCTGTGATATACCAACTTACTGGGACGACTGCAAGTGAGGGGGAAAACATTGGCTCACCAACATGACATGGGCTTTTACGAAACAAATGCTTTCGTCCTAGCGTGGGCAGCAAACGTCACTTTACTGCCATTCCGCAACTAGCATGCGGGATACATTCACACCGT